TTAGTTAAAAACTAATAAGAAAGTTCCAGCATATGCTAGAGGAGGATGGGGCAAGAATGAGAATAGGCTTTTATATATATATCTTCTTTTGGATGGCTTTTATGAATTCTTCACTTGATGATTCCCGAATCAAGGTGGTTTTTTTCACAAGCACTAGTTGGATAACGTCTGCCAAAAATGAATTTAGGCTTCATAATATTGTCACGCAAAAATTGAGAGTTTATATATCTCAGTTCAATTTGATATTCATTACGATATTTCCCATCTATCAGTTTTGTGGATGTGCTGGTTCGGGAAAACGGGAGCATCAACACCATATCTATGAAATAAGCCTAAGCATTTTATGCTCAATTCGGTTTGAGAACCTCTGTGGTTATGCGGATTGTCTTTTAATCTTTGTTGTGAATTAGATTTTTTCATTATGTGCTTTATGTTGCTCTAGGATCTTGTATTTATTTTGGAAATCTGAAGATAACGAAAACCTGTTCATTTTTGTGCTGCAATCACCCTTTTGTTTCGGACATGTAATTAATACTTGTAGGACTTCAACAAGTAAACTGCTAGAGTTGGTTAGATGGAGCACAATTATATACCCAGACAATCCTGATTCATTTTGATTAAGAACGTGGAGTATCCAAGTTTGGGACTTGTACTGCTTCATGTATGAATAAGTGCGACTAAGATTTGTTTAGAATTTATATGGTAATTTGCAAGAGAACATATCTTTTGCTCTCAAAAACAGTAGGAACAGTGGGAAGTTGATCATCATGGAATTTTTGGAGGAAAAAGATTGGGAAAACAATTTTCAAAAAGCTGTTGTTTCTGAAAAACAAACCAAAGGATGTTATCTGGTACTCCACGAAAACAGAAACAGTTTCGAAAAGCCTTTTCTGATCAGTGCCCATTTTTTAACTCTTACACAAATAGATAATTAAAAGCTACTGTCCAGCTTGGTACTTGTTTCAACTTTATAACATACTGATAAATGACCTTTTTCATTTTCCCATGTGAAAAAATAGTCAAATAGCATATCAAATGTTGGGCAGCTCATTCACTAACACCAAAAGAATTTTCTATGAACTTTCGTAAACATGTTTCAAGATTGCCAAATAGGTGTTGATAATTATTTTTCTAGATTTTTCAGATCGTTCACAGATATCACATGAAAGTGTTAATTAATATTATCATTTCTTGTACACCAATGCCAATCTTTTGTGCGCCTGTTACCATGTTATTGATACAGCCGCTGAAGCTTCTCTAGGTGTTAGTGTCTTTGCTATATTTGTTGTTGTTATATTTATTTTTTTGCTATAATATTGTGTGTGCAACATTTACATATGTTGTGATA